ATGCGTCTATGTTCGCGCGAATCATTCATGATCCAGCCTCATCTACAGAAGAAGTGAGTATAATGTTTTGTAATGAATCTTTGCAAATCGCCTTTCCTAATAATGTGCTAATTAGCAAGTTTCACGATGAATGCGGCTGAAGTAAACAGTCTCTCTGAGAGCAGCTCGGAAGAGAGGGGCGGGGTCAGCATAGCTCATTAACATTTAAAGGAAAATGCTACAAAAATGGCTTGATCTGAAAAGAGCTGTTTTTGACAGGGTAAAAAAGGTGTTTTTTACACTACCATTGAGAAATTTTAAGCAAACTATGTTACAGAATTTTCATTAAGACCCTAAAGAATCATATCAACTTGTGGAAAATGGGCATCCTATGACCCCTTTAAGTGGTTGGAAATCACTGTCGTAAATATATCACTTAATTACAGTGTAATACTGTAGACATATGTTGCTGTCATAAAGCAATCTGCTATCTTCACAGAATTTCGTATATGCTCACCAAACTTACATACTCTCTTACATATGCCCTCGTCTTATTAGAAGTCAGTGTGCCATCAGAATAATTTTGAAACTGATATTTCAAGATTAAATACAGTGGCTTTAAAGGAAGGGTTTGTGTTTGAGATGTCATGAAGATATGAATGCATGTATGTGCATTCACTCACCCTCCGTTGAGACACCTGCGTAGAGAATACGAGGCTCCGCCTCCACAGGTGCGAGAACAGTCACTCCATGCGCCCCAGGCGTCCCAACCGGTGTCCCTCTCCTCATCCGAGCGGGTCGTTCTTGAGGACTGCAAGACACAAAAACATCAACATTTACTGTAGTGTAATACTTTTTTTATTTTAAACATTTTCTCGAATCCCAGTTTAAAATGCAGAATCCATTCTTCATTGCAGTCGATTTCTGATGTTAGATGAATCTGAATGACCAGGCATTTGCTGATCTGTTGACAAGAAAAAACATATTTTCAATGGCTATCGTCAACTGTTTGGTTAACATTCTTCAAAATATCTTCTTTTGTGTTCAACCAAAGAAAGAAACTCATACAAGTTTGGAAGAACTTGAGGGTGAGTAAATGAGGACAGAATTGTCATTTTTGGGTGAACTATCCTTTTAAGACTCGTTCACACCAAGTGAGTGGATTCTGATTGGCTGTCAATGTTTTTATCGCTCATCAGAATAAAATCTTCTGTGCTGTTATCGTTATAGTTTTGACTTTTCTTTAAAATGTAGAACTTTTAAATCTAAAAAAATATTTTTTCCAAATACTAAATCTATTTATTTATTTTTTCATTTTTAAAAATATATCTTCATCATTATAAGGTACCGTCCTTGGTGTGAATGGGCAGTTCAATGATGCCCTCTACCTTTAGATCTCATATTTCTCGTTTTGCCCTGAAAAATCATATCGCTCTCAATTGTGACTGTTATTGCTGGATGAAAATTTTTTTTTAGAAGAAAAACACTAATTCATTCTCCAGTATTATTTATGTTTGGTCGTCCACCTATCCATTGAGCTGCTTCTCTCTTCCCACCAGTAAATCCCTCTTGGACACCGGCTACACACTGACCTTGAACATTAGCCGGGCTCCCAGTGCTCCGGAATACTTCTGCTTGATTTCTTTACCCACTTAAACTATCCTGTGTGTTGATACAATTTAAAGAGCTAAATATACTCACGTCTAACTCTGACCGCCTTTTTATTTGGTGTCAAATCAATTGAAGCTCACATTTACCGAACACAACCTCCCATGTTTGGAGGTTTCCCATGTTTTCTCTCTGGCAGAGACTCAAGTGCTGAAGTGGAGGGCAAGACTTTCAGGGATTAACAACTAGTTTTCTTCAAATTTCAGACTGTCCATCACGCAAAGCTATCATGTGGTTTTCTTTCAGTGTAGTGCACAAATTATGTTAACTACTTTTATGGCTTTAATGGTGTTTTCTGGTTGTTTTTGGAGCCTAAACTTCTGTTGTGTACAAAAAATGGTGTGAAGATCATTGAAAACTAAATTCTATCTGTCTGTCTGTCTGTCTGTCTGTCTGTCTGTCTGTCTGTCTATCCCAATCTGTTTCTTTAAATCTCTTATGCTCACCAAAAACTGTACAGTAAAAAATTAATTAATTAAAAAATATATTGTCAAATATTATTAAAATTTAAAACGACTTTTAAATGTAATTTATTCCTGTGATGCAAAGCTGAATTTTCATGATCCTTCAGAAATAATTATAATATGCTAATTTGGCGCACAAGAAATATTAATTATTGTTATCAATGTTGAAAACAGTCGTGCCACTTAATATTTTTGTGGAAACCACAATAGTTTTTTTTTTCTTTGATGAATAGAGAATTCAAAAGAACGGCATTTATTTGAAATAGAAATCGTTTGTAACATTATAAAATTACTTTACTCTCACTTAGGCATGGGCCGATTACCGGTTTCAAGGTATACCGCGATTTGAAAATTTCACGATTTCAAAACCGCTAATATTTTCCGTTATACCGTTCCTGCGTTATGC